TTGAAAAATAGATGAAGTAAAAATGATCTAGAACGGACTAATAATTTATATACATATTTATAGTTGTATCTATTTACAATTTCATAGGGACTGGATGGATAAGAAATGATTGAACAGGTGGGATTAAAAGGTAGGAAGAGTATTGGATTGATGAATGTGAGAAGGGATGGAGTTCCAAAGAGATGAATATCGGATAATGAACGATCTGTCGAAAGCAGAGGTTCGATGGGCCCTTATGTATAAATATAATGTATCATACAACATTTCTTTGACGTTAGATGCTCTGAAAATACTTATTTGGGGTCGACAGATTCGTTGGTGATTTTTTTTCCTCCTCTTTCTCACCTTTTAGGCTATACGGAGATTTCCCGGACCAGGGGTGAGGGCGGGGGACTAATAACAGACTTCATAGTCTCCCTTAGCACGGGGAGGCAAACTCGGTATTACTCGGTATCACTTGACTTCTATTCGGGTTAGTCCGCTCGGACACCCCACCCCTTGATCGTTGGTGTATAGTTTTAATAATATCAGTGAAGGTTTCCAATCTTACCATTTGGTGTTATTTGTGCCGCATTTGGTGTTATGTTGGCAGGGTTGTTTTTCATAATCCCAACCCTTGGCCTTCGGAAGCGGTTATTCCGTTCTACACTTCCTTTGACAGGGAATAGAAACATAGAAGCTTACTGGATTTTGTTGATCTTTTGATGTTTGCACTTAGTCCTCGTGGAGTATAACATACTGGTTAATTAAAGTTTCATTCACTATCTCATTACAAGATTTGGAATACCTTTTATATTCAGTCTTTATTCTTATATTGTCATAGTATACGTTAATAATATCAATCCAGGTTTAACTCTACTAATTTGAGTTGAAATATTATAGACTACTTTCTTCTCCTTCACAAGGACTTTCAAATTATTTTGAATTTTTAATGCTCTTTTAACCTATATTTCGTATTTAGGGCTGTTTTCATAATGTTGTTTTTTTTTCATGCTCTCGTACACTTCGTTGCATTGATAATAAATACCATTAAAATTAAAAAAATAATAAACTGAGTACAGATAATGTTTAAGCAGCTGATAAAAACTAATTTAAAACACCTTTACAAATTCTGTATAATTTGTTTTTTTATTTAAATAATCAGTGTAACTTAATCAACCATTGAGAGGTACTACTAAAAACTATCTCTTATTTATACCTAACATTGTCATTACTTCTTGTATTATAAGACCATTTAGTGACTACCAAAAAGCTACAAATTTATTTTTCATGTAAAAAAAAAATCCTTCAAATAAATACTTCTGTTAGGATATAAAATTTATTTTTAAATTTTTTATAAAACTTATGATGTTTTCATTTACAAAAATGCTATCTGAAAACCTAAGCCTTAAGTATTTTCTTAACAGTTTTTTCATGAGTTTTTTATTCATTTTATAAATGGATTCTGGGAACACCCTATTTTTCTATTATATACGTTCTCTATCTTAATAACAATACTTTCGAAGTATTTTATTCTATTCTTGATATTATAAAAAGAAATTTACTAAATTAAAATACACAGTTATTTTTGCAATTATGGCTAATTAAAAATTAACCGTTAAAATTAGTAGTTTCTGCATTAGATATACTTATTGATATATATTTGATGCCATTTCAGTTCAAACGAATGTAATATTGCTAAAATGTTACAGGATGAATATATACAGAAATGTGAGCTTAATTAAATTCCAATCCATTGAAAATAAACGTTTTCTAATTCAAAATGCAGTTGGTATTGGATATACACTTTACATTTTAAAGAACTGATACTTCGCCTTTGCAATTAGCAATCGTTATCAAAAGTGTTTTTGTTGAATTTCAGAGACCTATAGAATAACACAATGATACTAGTGAAATTGAAATTGAAATTCAACCAATTTTTTCCCTGAACAGAAATAACGGAATAGATTCTTTTTTCTGTTTATTAAGTGGATCGTAAAATAAACAAAAAAATAATGAAAATTTAGTCTTCTCAAGGCTTTATTTATCTTTTTGAAAAGGATAACACCAATTATATATTCTTGTAGTTGTACAGTGATTACTTGCAATTATGTCGATTTGCCCAAATCGTGCTCAATCGTCAGGTTTTATCTCTTAATTAAGAGTATTTACTTTATAGAGTTTGGGTGTGACCCGAAAGAACTCTCCGACAGTATGTTCTATCTAAGACATAGAATTATTACGGAAATAGAATAATTAATTACCTATTATCAGTAAGATTCAAACCCGGGACTTTGAACTAAGGAAATTAGTGCCTTACCCACTGAGTATCAAAAAATCGATAACTGAAAATTTTCATTTTATTATTGTGGAAAAATCACCTTCTTGAATTTTCATCCCGAATAATATCTCGAGGATCTGTTTCTAGTTAGAAAAAACACTAAATTTTTGAGAAACGATCCAACATTGATTTTTTAATAGTTCCAAATTAGACTGATACAAAATATTGGCGGTCTTTTAAGTACGAGAAGCCATTTTTCTTTCAATGCCTTGTTCTACCTGTACCCCCTGTACGAAGTATATGTCGGCTCCTTTGATGTTGGGTTTTTACATAATGACTAATTGTTATACGTGACATTTAATCTGTTGAAATATATTTGTATTGATTGTACTATAAATTTTACTAATGATAACATAGTATTCATAAAATTATATTTTTCTCATCTTCGACGTTAATTTAGTAAAACAAATTATCTTAGACGACTCGCGAATTGACAGGCACAAAATACATATTTTATAAATCCCGCTCTGCCCCACAAAAATATATATGTATGAAACATTTGTTCACAGATATCATTTTGATTATGGTATATTGTCATATTTGTTAATAAATAAATTAATAAGGGGGGAAAAATCAAATATCATAAATAATAGATGAGAAGCTTAAGAATAAACTGGTACTAAACAATAATTAACAATCTACATAAATAAGAAAAAAACACAAACTAAACAATTAACCAATTAAACAAAATAAACAAGCTTAAACCTAACCGATGATTAAGAACATTCTTTTAAAAAATATAAATAAGTAAAATTAAGTTAGGATCTATATTTATTTTCTTATTTAGATGTAGGTAGATCAAAGAATATTTTTTAGGTTTTTGTGTTCCTTGAGAAACTGGTTGGGGAAATTTAGAGACCTGCATCACTTCAAGTGTATGGATGGTTTGGGAGTTCCCATGCTCAGCACATTTTTAATTTTTAAAATATATATATTTTTTATTTATTGAATATTACAACATTTCGTCACTTGTACATTAGATATAATGAGTTAGATATATCACACTATATGTACAAAAAATTATAAGACAATTTTTTTTTTAATATTGTTGGTTGGGAATTGAATTATATTTCTAATAATCAAACAAACACATTTAATCCTTAAATCCTACTTTCTACTTAAGGTAAAATATAAGAAATAAGCTCAAATGATTTTTTTTTTTATAAAGTGTAGTTTATTTCCATAAAAAAGCTGAAAAATTGAAAGAAACAAAAAATACTGTAGGACTTAAGGGTCAAATTTATTTGTTTTCAGATTTTATGTTTCAATATATATACATATTTAATGTTCTCCCTTGTCTCTTCTTTTGTTAGGCTTTTTTTAACATGCTCGTTGTATTTCCTTGTTCTGTAAGCTCATTATGTTTTAAGAATGATTTGTGATCTACCACAAATTAGTTTGAGTATTTATAATTTTATCGTGTGATGAGCAACCCAGTTATAGAATGAAATTTTTCTTACGCCTCAATTATCTATTTTTGAATAAAATTTTCATTTACAAGAATTATCTAGAATTAATATGGTGAACCTAAGAAAATTTCATTCAAATTTTGCGCTATTAGTAGTTGTACTATTTAGCTCACATACGAATTGCCTTTGTTTGTTACTTAAGAGTCAAAATATTCCAGATGCTGCAGATTTTGCGTGGAGCAGACTGGAAAGCATTAGCCAAAGAAAGGCAGAGGTGGAGGAGGCATGGTCAGGCAACAAATGGACAAGTATAGACCCGTAAAGCCAAAAGAACAAAACAAAAATGTATATATGTATATATATATATATATATATATATATATATATATATATATATATATATATATATATATATCTGTGGCATATGTGCATGGTGTGTTAAGTGTATTTTTTTTTTTTTGATTGATATTAAGAAAAATCTGTCTTTTCTCTATATTCTAGTGTATAATGGGCTAAGCTATTCGGAAGTTACACAGATAAATATTCATTTTTGTTAAATCTCAAAAATTTAACTTATATCTGTGAAAATACTAACCTTTCAGTTGCGTTTTTCGAAAAATATGAGTTTTTCATTTAAAACACTATGCACAGATGCCACACATATATATTTTTAGAATACAATATATGCTATGATATAATAGAATATACCATACATGCATTCTAGTTGTTACTCATTTTAGTATTTAATTATTATTTCTGAAAAACAGAACACTAATCGGCATAGATATGAGAATACTGAAGTCTCGAAACTTCGCTAAAATATATAGTTTGATAAATAGTCAGCAACTAATTTAAAATTTGTATAAATATCTTTATAAAATGATTGCGTCCTAACTATTTGTCAGCTATGATATGTAGAACAGTCGACTGACTTCCTTCAATATTACATAAATCAAACTATGTGTTTGATAAAATATAAATATTTTTGATAAAATTAACTAACTAGGAACGAGGTAATAAATAAACTTTATATTTGGTACGAAATGACTGAAATTATATCTGTTTATGAAACATTCTTTGATTTACCTACAAATAAATTTATTAAAATAATTCAGCCATTATTAGGAAATAAATATAGATCCTAAGTTAAATCTACTTATTTATATTTTTCAAAAGAATGTTCTTAATCATAACATCGGTTAGGTTTAGGCTCGCTTATTTTGTTTAATTCATATGTTTAGGTTGTGTTTTTTTTCTTATTTATGTAGATTGTTAATTATCGTTTTATACCAGTTTATGCTTACGCTTCTCGTCTATTATTTGATTTGTATTTCCTTACTTATTTATTTATTAAAAGATATGACAATATACCATAATCAAAATGATATATGTGAACAATTGTTTCAGATATATATTTTTTTGGGGTTGGAAGGGGGGAGGCGAGGGCTATAAAAAATGTATTTGCGCCTTTCAACTCGCATATCGTGTAAGATCTTTATTTTACTAAATTAACGTCGAAGATGAGAAAAGTATAATTTTATGAATACTATGTTATCATTAGTAAAATTTATAGTACAATCAATACAAATATATTTCAATTGAGTAAAGATTACCTATAACAATTAGTCATTATGTAAAAACCCAACATCAATGGAGCCGACATATACCTCGTACAAGGGGTACAGGTAACAAACACCCCCTACACTTAGAACTGATAAGTTTCCCCCCTCCTCCTCCCACCCTTGCAAATATGAACTGCATGGTATTCTACGGAAAATGCTTATTTGAAGTTACCACAGCTTCTTGATCACACACAGAAAAATTTCTCATCCGAGATGCTGCCCAAAATCTTGCTTGCTTACTGTCACATCCTCAGCTGCCTCATCTACTTCAGCATGTAAGTAAAGTCAATTTATTTATACCATCTAATACTAACACATAAGTAATCATCATAGATATTGCGGTAACTTAAAATCTATTATCGGCATTGCTCTTACAATTTTAATACGTGTTAATTTAGGTATATTGACATTTTAGCATGAAAAAATATTTTACATTAAACTAACATTTAAACCTTAACTATTGATTTTAATATTTCTATATAATATAGTTTTTAAAATAACCTCTTATAAAACACTATATTATGTATAGGTATACGATTTTCAAAAAGATAATTGAAGATTTTAATATACAGGGTATCCCATAAGATTGCAATTTTTATAGGAATGATACCATACCTCAAGAGCTATGAAAAACTTCATATAAACAATAAGCAGAAATTTTCAGCAGAAATAGTAGGAAGTTTTTTTTGTTTTTTTAATCGAAAGCAAATAATTAAAAACATCGAAAGCAATCGAATTTAATTATTTAATTTAATTTAATTTAAATATTTAATTTTAATTTAAATATTTAATTTAATCGAAAGCAAATAATTAAAAACATTTAATTTAAATAATTAACATTTTTTTCATTGTAAACAAGATAAAATTTACTTCAAAAACAAACATAGGGTTTATTATTGTTAAAACCATTTACAGAGGAATTTTGAGCGGCTAAACTAAGCTAAGTTCTGTTATTAGAATAATCATAAATTATTCTCTATTTTATTTCATCCAACTCTTCTACTTTTACAAGATCTTTTTCGTTTAATATTCTTTAAGTCCGTATTAAATAAGTTAAGGTTAATTAGGAAAAAAACTTGATATTAAGAAGTTTTGTGAAGGAATGATTTTTTTATCCTATCAAGTAACCCCTGTTTTCAGCAAAATGACAATAATTAATTGCAGCTTAATTAGTTAAAAGCTTTTATTTCTCGTTTTTCCATGATCTGGGGTGTTTTTTTATAATACCAATTGTCCAACCATATTTTTTTTTTTAATTTATTTGAAATATACTGATTTTTCAATTATTTCCCCAGTAATTCGGTTATAAACTATTTTCACCTAGATTTATATTATAGGAATTGATCCATATTTGACAAACTAAATGTTCCTAATCCGGATATTAACGTTTTAATTTAAATAACTGAAACAGTTTTTTTTTTGTATTTTAAAATTAAATATTAGGACTGGAAACTTTTATTTAGTCTCTCACAAATACAAATAAATTCCTATAATAGAGATCTGGGTTTTATAACCCAGTTTATAACCAATATATCCGAAAAATATTTTAAAATCAATATTTTTCAATTAAATTTTTTAATAAATAATATGTGTGTTTAGGCAATTGAGTTTATTATAATACATCCCAGATCGTGGAAAAAGAGAAAATAAAAGCATTGTAATAATTAATTTTAGTCATTTTTGCTGAAAATAGGAATTCTTTTATTTGAAAGGATAAAAAATATATATTCAACAAAAACACTACTAGGATTTCCTAATTTTCTGCTAAAAATTGCCTATTGTTTATATCCACTTTTTTGTAACTCTTGAGGACTAATAAAAATTTTCCTCTACTAACGAAACACCCTGTATATTATACATTTAATATATAGATAATTTAGTATACAGGGTATCTCAGTTCTTAATAGATAGGCTTTAGTGAGTAATTCTGGACAAAATTTTTAACAACAAAGTTTATTTGATGTACGGACAGATTCCCAACAGGAAATCGAATTTTGTATCTCCCTTTATAAGGAGGTTCAGTTTTTTTTTTATTATAAAAAGGAATAGCTCAAAAAAGTATTAATGATAAATTACAATTCGTAGTATAACATTTATAACATATTATTGTTTTAAGATTGTTGATTTTATATTTTATTAAAAAAAGAAATATAAAATAACAGGTGCGGATGAAAAATTGAAGACAAAAAAAAAAAAATAATAATTAAACTAACATTCAAGGCTTTCCTTCAGGAATTTCCTTCTTATTCAATAAAAAACGTGACCACCTAAGGAAGATATATAATTGGTCTTAATTCCTTTGGAAATCTTCCCATACATCAAATTAACTTAGTTGTTGGAAATTTCGTACAAAACTACCCCTATAGTTAAGTCGTTAAGAACTGAAATACCCGGTGTATTAAAAATTATCTATAATTGCATAATATATATATTAAAATGTACAATTATCTTATTGAAAATCGTATACATATATATAATCTATTTTTTTTTCTTATATATAGGAATATTTTATAAAATAATCATTTTATATTAAAAATATTTAAATCAATAGTTAAACCTTGAGTGCTTGTTTAATTAATAAGGTATGAAATGAACAATCTTAAAACTATAGTATTTAAATTTTATGCTGTGTATGATATATTTTAGTAGTGATTAAAGTACCGCCATTAATTTAATTTCTGCCTTATAATTGTTTGTTTAAAACTGATGCCTCGTAATCATCCCTGACCGTCAAAGATTAGTGGTATAAAACCAAGAATAATCATAAAAATCTTACAAACCAGAATTTGGTTACTGATACAATACCTTATTAAATTTAAGTCATCTTGAAACAATAATTTAAAATTGTGGTTTTAATACTATCAAATATTCCAAATATATACATATTTCATAGTAAGGATTATTATTACGAATTTTGATTGGATTACAAATAAATAGTTTTTAAAAATAAAATTCCTCTAATGACTGCTCTTTTTTTTTTTTTTTTTTTTTTAAATTTCAGGGATTTGGAAAATTAAATATTATAATGGTAATCTAAATTTAGTTACAATGATTGTTGAAATGATTATTATTTTTATAATATGCTTAATAGTATCAATTACTAAAATGACAAAACCTTCAAAAACCCCAACTATAAAAAATGAATGACTTATAATACTTCAATTTTATTATAATTCAAAAACATCTAACACTGGAGAAATTAAAAAAAAAATTCATGTATCAGTTTTGTAAAATAAAAATTAACAGTACCTGGTTTACTTTCTATACTCATAGAAATGGTCCTTATTTATGACAAATTTTCATAAGATGTCAATTTTGGAGCAATTTAAATCTATTGGCATTCGATACCTAACAGTGAAAAACACTCAGAGATTAAGAGTTTCATATAGAAATACTTTTTAAATAAAATAATTCATTTTACACTTGATTTTAAATTGGTATTTATTTGGTACTTGTATTTTTTTTTTCAGGGGCTCCAGAGCAAATACAATAGAACATAGGCAATCCTTAAAGTCAAAAACTCCAGAAATGACGGTATGTTACTATAATATTGTGAATAGTATTGTTATTATAAAACTAACTCAACGGCTAAAAACATATTTAATATAATTAAAATTGAATATTGTGGGTTGAGGTTGATTGTAATGAATAATTGAAGAGAAGGATATTCGGGGTCGAAATAAAAAATTAATAATATTCCTATTTTGTATATATTGATACATTTGCTCATTTATTTGTTTACATTATTTTAACTTTTTATTATCTTATACGTAGTCAGTATATTTTGATAGATTTTACAATATCTCAATTTTCTATTTATATCTATTATTTCATTATATAACTGCATATTCCTTTTCTCTGTTTATCATTTTATTTTAAGATTACCATTTTTAATTCTTATGTTACCTTATTTTGATTATGTTTACTTCACTAGTCCGCATTTTTTAGCCGTTATTATTATTTATTAGTTCTATGTTATTGTTATTATTCTACCTACTTTATTTTACTTTAATGTCCATTCTATCAACTTCATTTTACTTTTAAGTTGTTCTACCTACATTGTTTATGTTTCTCAGCCTTGATGAAGGCCTGAACTTCTGGCCGAAAAGTCGGCAAATGTAAAAATTAATATTATTATTTATTTTTGCTATTTTTTTACTGAACACTCCAAGCGACCATCTCTTCAAAATTTAAAATTCTACGATATAATACTAGATAATTTAAATATTTAGACAGTTTTTCAATTGTTTTATGTCACCATTAAAAAGTACATAATTCTTCGTTAGTGATTAAATTATATACTAAATTAAGGTTTCTGATCCTAAGGAGCTGGAAGATAATGTAACCAAAGGAATTGCGACTGGACTACTCCTCGCATGGAACCAGTGTCGTCATGACTTCAAGTGGCAGAGATGGAACTGCACGGAATTAGAGTTTTCCAGGTTAGTTTTTAATAAGTAGTTATAAAACAATTTTAAATACGACACTATAGAGGTAGTTAATTTAGTTTCAAGATAAAATTAAAAAAGGGAAACTAGCAAACACTTTTTTTTATTGGTCCAAAGATATAAAAATTTCCTACAAGTACTTACAAAGGAATCGATTTTAAGGTGATTCTATTTATGGAGGTACAAAATATTTAATTAAAACTTTTAATATAAACTTCTCTGATCTCTTATTGAAACTTGTAAACAACGTCATATCTAAGCTACGAAATGCTAACGAACATTGAATATTTTTGAAAACTTTACTGTTAATTAAAAAAAAAAGTATAAAGTTATTTTTTTACTGAAAAATATGAAAATCTGTCTCACGGACAATAATTATAGTTAGATATGAACACATTCACATGGTAAAAAGTTATAAAATAAAAACGTATAGTTCATTTTATTCAATTGTAATTTACCTATCTTTGCTATTTTCTAAAAATAATGTTACGAAGAAAAAGGAAATTTCTTTGCGAATGACTCTAAAATTATGATTTTTTTTTATCGTTTGTATCATTAATTATTTGGAACAGTAATAAATTCTCTAAAAAACAACATCGATTTCGTACTAGCAAAGATACAGGATATTGGGACAACCACAATTTATTTTACTCAACTATCGAATGTATTTGCCAAGGAAACATCCTTTAATAGCATGCCAGGCATTGAATCGTTTTCTATTTATTTATTATAATTTTTACAACGTTTATTTCTAGGTAATAAACTTATTCATTTTATTGTCAAATTTATGTTAGCTCGTCACAATTTATGAATTCAATTCATCTATGAAATTTCGTCTAGTTAAACGATTAATGTTTCATCTATAAACGTTATATTGTTTGTACTGTGAATGTGTGAATGACGCAAGCTAGAATGTTGTCATTTTTTAAAATTTGAAAAATTACAATGAATATGTAAAGTGAAAATAGGTTTAAAAAATAATCATTTATTTGTTTCTGTTTAGAGATACTTGTGTTTAATTTTAAATAAGCAAATAAATTAACGAGCAACAACAGTTTTTGTTCTATTAATTCCATATTATATCATGTGCTTACTTATAGAAAAATATTTTATAGTTAACACTGCCACGAATAATCAACATGCTCATAAGTTGATTGTATTGTAATAAAACACACAATTTTCTTAAATTGTGCATTCATTATTGTATTACAGTCTACATAACGCCCTTAGACTATTTCTAATTCTATGCTTTGTATTAATCATCTACATGAAAGTATTAAGTAAATATATATTATGTGAACTCATATTATTTTAAAACTTATTAGTTATTAGCAAAAAATTATATTTTTTACATATATAAATTATATATCTTAATAAGTTAGTCTAACTAGGGTGGTTAGGGTTAAAAGAGATCTAGAAAAATCTCTCTGTTTTTTTTGCTTATTCAAATTCAACGAATATTTTCGTGTTCGACATCAACAGGGAGTATTGATCAAGACCAAGACCTAATACTCTTTCAAAATTCAGGCCATTTCATTGTATTTATTAAGTCAGCCGATAATAAGATATTATTAATCTATTAAATTAAATATATATCTGGGCTTATAAATATATATATATATATTTTAAAGAAATAACGCAGTAAAGATACATAATACTAAAGAATCGTTTCTAGGTTTTAAAGATTGCATATACCGGTTTAAAACCATATTCAAGCCCTCCTATTGATTCAAGCCTAAATTTTATTAATTTGTAAATTTATAAAATCACTGATATATTCTGTTATTCTACTTATCACCAAGCGTTATCTGAATTTTAAGTATCTATTTAGTCCATAGCGAAATGGATATAATTTTTCATATTTTATAAATAGTATTAGAGATAGGAATAAAAAAGTAAAAATCTACAGCAATCAAATAAAATAAAATTTCACAAATTCTGCAACATATATACGGAACTTCATGAGATCGCCTAAGCCCTCAAAATTCCCTATCGCTGCAAACAATTCTTAATATCCGACCTTTTAGGTTCATTAAAAGGTTTAAAAGATATGTATTCGAAATACTCCGTTATCCTGAAAACTCTCAAATACCTTCATATTCTCGAAAATCTATTTAATTTATATGGATTCCCAATCGTGTTGGATCAGTTAATAATGAGCTAGCAAATACGTCAGCTAAACAAGCACACACGATCTCAGACCGAGGTACTGGAGGTATAGCAGACCCTACACGGTAATTCATGAATGAACGTCACAAGAAGTTCCAAGATTGCCCGCTATCGCTTTGATCATGAAGACTCTTACACGTTCAATCATTACTTTTGGTTGCTGATACCAATTTAGCTCAGTTGTAAACAAAGAAACAGCATAGATATGCTTATTTGGACATTGTCATTTATAATATTGGGCATCAAGAGAAATATCACTTCTCGTGAATGAACCTTTGATTTCCGGATGTTCGGAAATCCGCAGCGCACCACCATCAGTACTTCATTCACTACCTTACACCACAATTCGGAACGTCATTAGTGCAATTCCGATTGACTAACCGAAGTTTAGGGTCCCCTTAGGTTTCTCATTCCACATGGAGGTACAGTCCATGTGGAATGAGAGTCCACCATGCAAGTTATCAAGTTCTGGATCACTTCAAACTCTTTTAAGAGCAGAGAAGAGGTCACCGTGACTAGGTAGAGGAGAATAGGCCATACAAATTTGATTCATTTAAACGTTATCAATAAACAACTACCTCCAGCATGCTAGTACTATAATAGCCCTTTCACTGTCAGCCATATTTTTTATGAATTCTCCAATTACACCACAAGGTTAAATAGATTACCTCTTAGACCGGATATTTCAGTCATATTAAATAATGACGAATCAAGCATAAAATCAGTTACAAACTTTCTGAACCCATAGGTTATTTAACAAAATATCGAAATGCATATAATTAAATATTTAATAGTTAACCCTTGCATTATAAAGGAAGGAGATGGTGCGGGGTTGCGGTCATAAATAGGCGAAATAGCGGATTGATATGAATTGAAAGCCGATGTTTCTACCCGACTTTGCAGGTCTTCTTCAGGGCTAGAACGGACAAGATAAAAATAAGAATTAGTTAAGCTAATAAGAATAAGCTTATTAAAATTGCATACAAAATAAATTAAATAAATTGCTTATTAAAATAATTTTAATAAGGTTGTTCACATTGTTTATAAATTATGTCTAAATATTATGTAACTGCCACAATACTCTTATCTTTTTGTATCTTGTCCGTTCTAGCCCTGAAGAAGACATGCAAAGTCGGGTCGAAACGACGGCTTTCAATAAAATAGTTTTACCTCTATTTAGCCTATTTATGACCGTAACCCCGGACCATCTCCTTTCTTTATAATGCATATAAAGTTTTTATATTATATTTTTTATTTCTTATTATTTTATTTTTTTCAAATTTATTTATTTTCCCCTCTCTTCTAAGGAGTTTCTGAACTCCAGAGAGCAAAAATAAATGACTAACAGACGTTGATGATCCTAGGGTTTTACGCATCAAAGCTCAAACTATCTATAGGTATTGAACATATAAAAATCAGTACAAATGTTAAATATATATATAATAACTCAATATGTTTTATTTTGACATCAATAGGAGGTACTTAAACCCTGTTAATAGAGAGATGGCGTACGTTTCTTCCATAACCGCAGCAGGGATCGCTCACTCCATGGCTCGCTCTTGTGCCAGAGGTACGCTCATCCCGGAGTGCAGGTGTGTCAAGAAGAACAAGGAGGCCAGCTGGGAAAAGGAGGGATGCACTCTCGATCTCCAGTTGGGCCAGATGTTAGCCAGGATTTTCTTAGGAGACATGGAAGGTGAAGCCTACGACATCACATCCAGAGTCAACAGACACAATTACGACCTCGGTATCAAGGTAATACTCAATTAGATAAGTATCCTCGCAAAGGTTACGTTTCATGTAAATAATCCATATGAAATAACGTTTTTTTTTTTTTTTATTATTATCCAGGCGGTGGAGCAGCAGAGAGGCGAAGATTGCAAATGCCACGGAATATCAGGCTCTTGCACAACCAGGACCTGCTGGGGGAAAGTTGCTCCGTTTCCAAAAGTGGGTGTTCTGCTGAAGAACGCCTATCGCAAAGCAGTCCGGGTCGCAGCCAACCGCGACAAGGATATGAGCAAACAGAGCTCGGGGGTCATGCTATTTCTGGAGGATTCTCCAGATTACTGCAAGCCAAACGCCACCTTTGGTATGTCATCGTTAAGATGTTTTATTACATTGATCCTACCAAATTACTTTCTTTCGTTGTTTACAATGGTTTTTGAACCATTTAATCTTTTTTTTTTAATGACAGTTCTTACTCTAGAAGAGGTAAGAATACCTATTGGAAATTTTAATTGGTCCTATGGGAGGAGAGAATCAATTACAGGATGAATAAATGCTTTTAGAAATATACTTGTTTTATTGGTTAATTATTTTCTATAATGGACCTGTATAGGACCAATTTAATTACAATGTAGTTACAGTGAAAAATTGTAACTGTCCAAAACATTAAAAAAACATACCCCTACCTCAAAATTTGAGGTTTTACGTTACAGTATAAGCAGAACTCGAAACTCAAATAATTTTTTTTTTCCCGTCCGCCGCACAGTGTAACCAAGTAGTGATAATGGACAAAAATCATTAACCATTAGTTATTTTCGAATAAAAATTATTATTAATTGATTTCAACTTAAAATAAGATGACAATAGTATAATAATGTATACTATACAACTATAACAGTATTAATTGTAATACTATATTAATGATGTGATATTAATAATTCAGGTATAACAATATTCTAAAATATAATATAAAATGTAATGCAACTGTAACATAATGTAGTATACTAGTAAATTATATTTATAGCAATATTGCCATAAAATAATAATATTTTATCATTTACTACGAAATTATTAAATATTTCTTTTTCAGAGTCTGGATTCGTCAGAATGTAAACTTATATCGAAACCAATGTCTATTTGATTATTGTAATAATCTCTATTATATAAGAATATACAATCTCTATTATATATCCGTTAATGTTTGGGTCTGGAATGATTTTTTGCATTTTTACATTTTTTCTCCATAAAGCAAGCTCCATAAAGCATTGTCATAATGCTCTTTCTTAGGTCTGTCTCCAAGTAAGCCGGAAGGACCATCAGGACATAAATTGACCTTTTCTTGATAATAATTGATAACAATTTCTTCTAAATTGATATCTGGTTCCAAGCAGTCTTTATATAAGGTTAAGTATTTTTTTTCTGTGCGGTAAACACGCTTTCCCATTTTTGACATTTTAAATGAGAGTAAACTGGTAGTCTTTCTAAAATTGCTCAATATTTCTTTAGGAGCATCGTGCAGATCAAATTGACTCAGTATTTGCTCAAAGATTGATTCCGGTTTCTTGGATTTACCAACATTTTTCTAAAGTTGTAAAAAAAAAAAAAAAAATTGTATTATGTGATGGATCTGAAAATAAAAATAAAAATCGTTGGAATCGGTTAATTTCAGCAAATTTGATTGCATTCAGTGCATTATACTTGGGGTAAACTTTATGTTCTAAGATATTTGGGAAGTTTTTTTGCTATAGTCCATCAAAATTGTGAACTTAAAAAAAATGTCAAAGATCAATGAACAATAATACAGGATAAATAATAAGAGTGTACTCACCCATAATAAATTACATCAGATAAAAAATGAATAGTTTTGACGTTATTTCCTTTGAATCTCTTAATAAAAACACTGTTCTATCTTCAAACAGAGATCATTAAACTGATTGTTTGTATGAAACAGATTTAAAAAAATTTGATTTAATTACAATACTGCTAATGTGTTTGTTGACCAAAATAAAAATAATATTTGTTGGTTTTGTACGGTTTTAATTCCTTAAACAGTTTCTCAAAGTAACTAAAGGATTTAAAGTTAAATATAAAAAAATATAAATTCGTTTTTATGTCCATTGTACGTAACACTGCGCCGGCCGGGCATTTTCTCCGAGACAAGACGGATTTTTATCAAATTTTTAATCAGAGTCAGAAGTCACCCGTGGATGATCCTCCTATCTCGACATAACTATTCACCCTTTCCTTCAAGATGGCGGCTGAAACACCTGCATTCGTATAGGCTGTCGCGCCTAAACGAATGTACTGATTTTAATGAAACAATCCTGAAGTCTTATCGTCGCTGCCTTTTAATTATATGCATAGAAAATACTTACCTTACTTAAAAAGTACTTTACTGAAAGATTACGTACTTAGTGAAAGATCTGTGTCGCATAGACAGTAACGCCTGAACGGATGTACCGATATTAATGAAACTTGGCTGAAGTATTCTCCTCGATGCCCTTTAAATTTATTTATATAACATACTCTAAAGAAAAGAAGCTGGAAAAAAAGTTACGATTTTGAATAAGAATAATTGCCCGAGTATGATTAATAAATTTTTAAAGAAGTTTTTGAATTTTATGGACAACTACAATAAATAATGTAGAGTAAAGGAGGAGGTATTCATAATAATGCTAATATTAATAATAAGTTATAATATTACACAAAATATTCAAAACCGATATTATAATAGGAATTATTTCTTACAGGATGGGCAGGAACAAAAGGAAGAGTTTGCTCGAGGAGAAGGTCCAAGCATGCAGACCGTTGGGAAAGGAGGTCCTGCAACGAGCTTTGCCGGTCTTGCGGACATCAAGTCCGCCTTAGAGTAGTCGAAACCAAGACCAGGTGCAATTGCACATTCGAATGGTGCTGCAAGGTCACGTGTTCCATTTGCAATAAAAATGAGAACCAATTCTATTGCGATGCTAATCCGATTCTTTTGAGGAAATGATCAGACCGCGAATGATACCAGTTTTGGAGTGGGGTTATATCTCATTACTCCTAATAGCCCTGGAGCCAGGGCCCAAAAATCGACCTGATCGCAGGCGAAGGTTTGATTGTAACTTACGAAAGTGTATGCTATTCTGAGTAAAAAAAATTTGTCTGCCGTTCCGGAGCCGCTGCTTTCAAAAATGGCGGCTGATTTAAAGAATATTAGGACTATAATTTGATGATCGAAACGGGAAATCCATTGCGAAAAATGTGAGAAAAGTTTCTATTTGTTTAATTTGTATATATGCGGTTATACATGTAAAAAACAAAATTGCTATCGCAGGCCACCAAAGGAAAACTTTTTATAGCCAAAAAAGTCAGATATTTTCGATATTTTTTGGGTTTTTCATCTATAACTCCTAAACAATGCATCAAAGCGAAAAATATGTTCGTTAATAAATTAAAGAATGTTAAATTTTGCGTCATACGAGTACATATACTTTAAAATTTGGTTTCGAGGTAAGGTATGAAACCACGGTCAACCAACTCCGAGTTTTACCAAATTTGCCAAAAACTGGGACAAATTACTTTAATTGACCCTGTAACATGAAAATGAGTTAATTCAGAGGAAAAACCCATAGGATCAAAGTTGTAGAGCATAAAATTTCGCGTATACTCAGTATCAACTAATTTAATGTAGGTCACTTGCTGCGGACAAATTCGGTAATTTCCCGATGGCTAGAAATTGGAAATGAAGGTATACGTAATTTTCAATATTTCAATAGTATGGGTGTCTTTTCTACTGAGTTGGTTTTGTTTAAAGTCTGTTACATGCAGTATAAGCCTCTTTTCCACCTCTCAATAGCAAAAGATTTTGGTAAACAAAGTGCCGAAATATACCGAATTTTATAAAGGAATAACGAATCCCGATTCGAGATATATAATTAGTCAACAATAAAAATATCAGTACCCAGTATACGCAAAATTTGATGCTCTACCACTTTGATTCTATGAGTTTTTCCTCTTAGGGAACTCATTTCCAAGTTACAGGGACATTTATAGTAATTTGTCCCAGTTTTTGGCAAATTTGGGAAAACTCTGAGTTGGTTGACCGTGGTTTTATACCTTACCACGGAACCAAATTTTAAAGTATATGTACTCGTTTGAAGCAAAATTTAACGCTCTTTAATTTATTAAAGAACACATTTTTCACTTTGATGCATATGTTTAGGAGTAATAGATGAAAACCCCAAAAAAGGTCGAAAAAATCTGACTTTTTTGGCTGTAAAAAGTTTTCCCTTGGTGGCCTGCGTTAGCAATTTTGTTTTTTACATGTCTAAACCCATATATACAAGTTAAAAAAATAAAAACTTTTCTTACATTTTTCGCAATGGATTTCCCGTTTCGATTCTCAAATTATTGGCCTAATATTCTTTAAATCAGCCGCCACTTTTGAAAGCAGCGGCTCCGGAACGGCAGACAAGGTTTTTTTACTCAGAATAACATGCACTTTTGTAATTTACAATCAAACCTTCTCCTGCGATGAGATCGATTTTTGGGCCCTGGCTCCAGGGGCTATAATAGGATCATTTTAAAGATGCCAAGGAGAATCTAATTTTCCAAAATATTAAACGTAGGTATGCAAACGAGACTGACATTAAATTTATTATAGTTATACAAATAACTTGGCATATATATCCCCATGATTTTATTTATTTTATTGTATGAACTGTTTTTAATGTTTAAAAAAAACAAAAATTTGTAGATATCGTAATGACGTTTATTTTCTTTAAAAGAAAGCCATGTTTATTGCTATAATGCCAAAGATTTCCATCTATTGCAAGTGAAGTTAAATTTTAATGTGTGTCAGTGAGAGGCTGTTTTAATCTATCACTGAAAGGTCAGTATTATGAAATTACAAAAACAATTCTAGATATTAATTACTCTCTGAATTAAAACCAATTATTACATGCTGACTCTGTTTTTTTTTAATTTAAATTTTTTTACTGTTTATTTATTTTTATGAGTAATATAAGTTAGTAAATATTATATTATTATGTAAATATTAATATACTTATTGATCAATTTTTTTTACTTATAATTTAAGGAGTGTGCCTTTTTTACTTACAATGTTTTTTTTATACCAATTGTAAAGATATACCTAAGATTTTTGTGTAGTGAAATACTATTGTAAAATACATCAATCAAGTATCCAGTATTGTGGATTAAATTAAATCTTTTTGTTGAGACTTGTAAATGTACTTATGTTGTTGTTAACACAATATAATTATGTATTGTTATAAGACATAATTAATATTATCCAGTCTTGTATCTGTATATTTTTTGCTGCTTTATTTTTAAAGTAAACATTTTTTTGAGCTAAAACGTAAGTTAAATGCGTTTCTTAATTTATTAAATGCACAAAAATAATTCAGTATTAAAAAATATAATTCTTTAGATTAAATCTAAAAATTGTGTAATTACTTGGGTATTAGAGCTTGTAAAGACTCCTTGATATCTATTATCTTTTATTTCTATTTATAACAATTTATAAATTTAAGAAGATTGTAATATTATACACATTCATGAAATCACTGTATGTATTTAATTTTAGTGTATATTTCGACTCTCGTAAAGACAGCTTAATTAAATCAACTTTTACTGCTGTGTATTTTTTAACCTAAGTTAAATTTATTTGATAAATCCTTAGTAAGAAAAAATAAGAGCTATAATTATAAAATACATAGTCTAGTTGTCATTTTAATATATATGTTCATATTTGTTTGTAATACATCAAGATAATAAAATATCAACGTTAATTCCTGTTATTTATGCCCTCACCCAAGACATATACTGCATGTAAATTTCTAAAATAATTATATCAAATTCATATTTATAATGTATAAGTACATTTCCACTATTATTCTATAATTTAATAATTGCTTGTAACGATTAATATAATAATATTTAAAAAAATATTTTAGTTATATAATAGTCAATTTATTACAACTTGCACAAATAATTAATATTCCGATAAAAATATACCCATCTGTGAAAGAAAATATGATGATAGTCACAAAACAAAATATGAAAATACTTACTTACTCTTGTACGCCATCTTGGATTTCAAACCCGTATATATATTTATTAGTTATCACTATTAATATGTCTACTGAGGACGTGATGGTCAAGCATATTGGAGCATAGGTATCAGAGTGGAGCTGATCTGGTGGGTTCGATTAACACATGGCACATGTTAATGTGTTTTTGCTGTGGCTCTAAGAAATAAGCCATTGTTTTCAATTATTAACAAATCAGAATTAGAGACCACAAACATTTCAAAATGTAATATTAAGAATAATAGTTAAAGGGACGACAATGCAAAAAGAAATGTGTATATATATAGTTAAGGAAAATCGCATGCCTAAGCGAAAACTGGTGAAGGGATTCGGTAAAATCTATATTGTGACATCTATGTTTCAACCCCCACAATCACTAAAATATACATGAAACTTGTTGTAACGGCAGTAGGTGTCATGCCAGTAATACGTAACGACAAAATATCCAGTTTAAATTAACTTTTTCGAATACAATCTAAAATTGTATAACCTCATAAAACAATATTATGAATATAACCTTCCAATTCAAATTAGCAATGCCATACACATTTCACAGCCATTATATTTTTGAAAGTTATTGATATTAATTTTAATTGTTGAATAGAACTCAATGAAATTGATACCAGGAAATTTCTGCACTATTCTCCGCATTTCTTCGGTCTAATCGAACGAACGGTTTTCAAAATATAGGCATGTTGAAAACAATAAGTTTTCAGATTCGAAAGCGGAAGTATTTTCTGAAAGTAGGGAATGGAATTTTCTGAAATGGAAATCTACTTGATTATCTATTTACCAATTCCTAACATTCAACCAAATTTGAGGCAAATCGAACTCCTGATTTTAAGATATCGACGTATCACGAAAAATACGTTTAGACGTATTTAAGAGAAAGCAGTTGATGGAATGCAATGAAATTATACAGAATTATTTTTTTACCAACATCTATAAAAAAACAAAGCCAAAAGAACTACATATTATTCATAACTTTTTCCTCTTCTGATTCAATCCTTAGCCTCAAGCCACCAGTTATCATTTCGTGTGTGTCATTTCGTTCCTCCATTTTTTTCTCTCCCCTTGCCTTTTAGGTAACACGGTTTTTTTCCGGTCCGGGGAGAGAGCGGGGGAATTATGGCTAGTTAGTTGGTTGGTGACGGAGCGGAGCTGTTTAAACGCGTTAGCCCACTCGGCCATCGCATCCCCCGTTCTCCCACCTCAGACGTGGTCGATTTCGTGTTGTTTTCTTTCGTGATCCACTCGGTTCATGCCTTTCAACCTTCCTATTCGGCATATGTCCAGGCCAATTCTCTTTAACCGATGACCTTAGATAAATTTCTTTATTATTTTTTTCTTTTCTTGATTGACATTAAACTACATAAAAGCTTCATATGCATAACGTTTAATCTGAGATGAATAATATAAATATACATAGAACATAAATTAATTATTTGTCAAATGCTGTATGTATTGTGAGCTCACAAGAGATATCTTTACAGAGTTATTTTTGAACTGATGGAAGTTATTGCGTCAAACGGTGGTATTATGGTTGGCCACCAAGCCTCATCGAACGCGCCTTTGATATACCATCAACCACACTCTTCTCTCAGGAAATAGGAAACCTTGTTAACTAACTGGTGAAAGATTCTATGTAGTGACTATGTAGAGAGATCAACGACATATTATATCGTTTAGGGATAATAGAATTTTATTTTTATGTAATAATTAATATTTACCTATTTCCATTCATATTTATTTTTTCAGCTCGATTTTAATACTTTTAATTTTATTATTAATAATACATCTAAATGTATATACTTAAACATTATAGTGTATCCAATCGAAAATCCTTTGTAAAATTCTCAATGCTACTTACTTTGTCACAAATAAAATAATCCATAAAGACGTTAATGGTCCGTGTTTCCAATTTTGCCTAATCCAGATACTTATCCTTCCATAGTAAACTTCATAACCGAATCCTCTTGTTTCTAACCTTGCTTCCTCTTCGATTCCTGATAACCCTCAGAGGCGTGTGAAAAGAAGATGGCCTCGTGATCTCCTCATGTAGACATATTATTAGAGTACTACCAATGGGTAGTCTCCCAACAATCGTTTTCATGTGATTTTATTGCTTTTTGCACATTCACTTGGTATATTTATACTAATACAGTTGTAAATATCATGTCGTATATATATATATATATATATATATATATATATATATATATATATATATATATATATATATCAAATGTGTATCATTTTTATGAAAAACCTTTGAATAATACTGTTCTGAACACATAGTAATCGTAATTCGAAATAGAAAATGTGTCTGTTGAAATCACAAAAAATGACCTTATATATCCTTTTTTAATCAATAACATTTTTGTTGTGTATTTAAAAAAATATTTCATCGTGATATATCCCCCTACATCGCATTTATTATCGTTAGCACAAACGTCTATCTGTCTAAATTATATGATGGGCGGAGAACATAATATGAAATGATACGTCCATGAGTGCATACTTCTCTATAACCGAAAAGTTTATATATACACCTCAATAAATGTTAAATAATTTTATTGTAATAAGGTCTTTAATTAATGAGGAAGGGCTTGAAGCAAGTATTTTGATTGATATGTTTCTCCATAACCAGTGAAGCTGATATTCTGGGAAAATCAATTTGTGTTTAATTTTGTTTTAATATAAACATTGCGGTTTTATTTGTGTACTATAATCATAGGTCATTCTTGATGTATATCAATTTTGTTGGTTGGAATTCCCTATTTGTCCAAAAATGTTCGATGTTTGCACATATGGAATAATAAATCATTGCATATTGGATATTTTTACTACTTTTTAGTTTTATTTCATATTTTTTTTTAAAAATTAAAAACCGATCTGAAACAGAAATATCTCATGAAATATCGAGCAACGACATTTCAAGTATTGAGGAATTAGCCATTAATACAAGAAAGCATGCGTACTCCAATCGCAACTACGTTTTTAAATGCTTGTGCACAAGCGCAATGGTGCAGATCTGTAAACGCAGCTTAAAAGAAATTGGTTATATTGTAACCAATACTACGTTGCTATAATAATGAAGGCAAACTAATTTCTTTTTATCCATTTGTTAATATAAAGTACTTTAAACAAATACATTAAATCTTTATTTAAAGTTATTTTGAGTTATACGGAACCTTTCAAAATATTGGTGGAGATGAATATATACATTTCAAAAATTGCGTAGAATGAGACTCTTCCGTCCAATGGAGATCGAAGCCTATTTTATAGAATAAAAAAACACTCTGAGACAATTATATCAACTGTAAGAAAATACTTATTCAATAAATTTTTTTCTTAACATACAAAACTTTCTTTTATCTCAACTTCTTGTCTTTATTCAGACTTGAACCAGATGTAAATGACAATAATCAAATTTGAGATACAAATATTTTTTTAAGTTTACTATAATGTTTTTTTAATTTTTTGATTATGATATTTACAACTATATTAGCATAAATATATCAAGTAAATGTGTACAGAGGAATATAATCACATGAAAACGATTGTAGGGAAACTATTCATTGGTAATACTCTAATAATATGTCTGCATGAGGAGATCACGAGGCCATCTTCTTTTCATACGCCTCTGAGGGTTATCAAGAATCGAAGAGGAAGCAAGGTTAGAAACAAGAGGATTCGGTTATGAATTTTACTATGGAAGTATAAGTATCTGGATTAAGCCAAACCGGAAACTTGGAACATTAAGGTCTTTATGGATTGTTTTATTTGTGACATCACAAGGAGCATTGAGGATTTTACCAAGGATTTTGGATTGGATACTCTA